ATGGAGGATGGCCCCCTGACTGAGTGAGACTCTGTCCGGGGGAATCCACCATGGGCTCGTGATGGATAGGCTCAGAAGATCGGCGAACTAGGGTCTCCGTGGCCAATAAGGAGCAATTAGAAGTATCTCCGCACCCTCTTGGAGAATTTTGCGAACCACCGCCGGAATCAGAGGGAGCGGCGGGAAGGCATACAGGAGACCCGGAGGCCATGGGGACCGAAGCGCATCGATCTGTTCCGCCCCGAGAGGGGAACCGGGAGAAGAACCGGTGTAACTGGGTGTTGGCCGGGGACGCAAAGAGATCCACTAGTGGGCGGCCGAAACGGTGACAAATCTCCTTGAACACCCTCGGATGGAGGCGCCATTCCGAGTGGTCTATGGTGGCCCTGCTCAACCTGTCGGCTTGAGTGTTCTCCTTCCCCGAAATGTGGTCGGCCTTGATGGAAGCCAAGTTGTGTTCTGCCCAGGATCCCAGCAACAGTGACTCGGTCAATAGAGCCCGTGAACGGGTGCCCCCTTGCCTGTTCACGTGAGCCTTGGCAGTCACGTTGTCCGTGAGGACAAGTACATGACGCCGCCTTACCAGAGCGTGAAAATGTCGGAGAGCTAAATGAATGGCCCGCAACTCCAGCCAGTTGATGTCGTGCCGAAGGTCCGAATTGGACCAACGACCCTGTGCCCACTGCGATTGAAGGTGCGCACCCCAGCCAAATAGACTGGCGTTGGTCGTCAGCAGTGTTCGGCCCGGTTCTTTGAACAACGACCCCTTGAGGATGGCTGGCGACAGCCACCATCCGAGGGATCGCACTACCTGAGGAGGGAGCCTCACCCTTTGATGGGAGGCACTGAGGTTCTGCCTCTGAAAGGGGAGCAGGAACCGCTGTAGTTCCCTGGAGCGGAGTCTGGACCACGGAACAATAGCTATGGTCGATATCATTTGACCCAATAATTTGGAAAGGGTGAGCAAGGACGCTGTGCGTCCCCTGCGTACCTGGAGGACTGATTTCCTCAGATTGTCCCGGCGTTCCTGAGATAAGTACACCTTGCATTGCAACGTGTCTATTATGGCCCCCAGATGTAACAGTTTTGTTGTGGGGATCATGTGACTCTTGAGGAAGTTTACCGAGAACCCATGGTCCTGGAGCAGGCTCACTACCATTGTTAGATCCGTCCTGGCGGACTGGATGGAAGATGACTGGATCAGGATGTCGTCCAAGTAACATTGGACCCTGACCGGAACCATCCGTAAGTGAGCTGCCAGGACCGCTAGGATCTTGGTAAACACCCTGGGAGCCGATGAAAGGCCAAAAGGTAGGGCCCTGTATTGGTAATGCTGACCTTTGTAAGCAAACCTTAGGAACCGTCGGTGGGCGAGAGAGATGGGGATATGAAGGTACGCTTCCGTTAGATCGATGGACGTCAGGAAGTCTCCTTTTCTTACGCTTCCTAAGATGGATCGGAGCGTCTGCATCTTGAACTTGCGGTAAACAAGATGGTAGTTTAAACCCTTGAGATCCAAGATGGCCCTCCATCCCCCCGACGTCTTGGGAATGACAAAGAGGATGGAATAAAATCCCCGACCTCTCTGGTCCACCGGAACCGGTTCTATGGCCTGTATGTCCAGAAGATGTTGGACGGCGTCACACATCAACTTCCTCTTTATTTGATTTCGAGGGTATGGGCAAGAGATAAAGTGATTCGGGGGATCGGAGATGAACTCCAGATAGAGGCCGTTGCGTATGGTATTGAGCACCCATGAGTCCGTGCTGGTAGCCTCCCATTGGTGGGCAAAGAGAGATAGTCTGCCCCCTATGGGAATAACCGTCAGGGAGTCACTTGGAGCGCCGGAATGGGCGGCCACTCCCCCGAAAGGGCCGCTTACCCTGAAATTGTTGCCTGGGTTTAGCCGTCTGCCCGTCGTATTGTCTGTCCTGCCTGTCCTGCCTGGCCGGAAAGGGACGAAAAGGCTGGAAGGGCTGGGTGTAAGTGTACCTGTTGTTAGGCCGAAAGAACTGTTTGCGGGGATAAAAAAATTTTCGTTTCTCCGACTTGTTTAGAATGTGGTTAAGGACCTTGCGCTTGTCCTTATTTTCAGTAAGGTATGGTTCTAAGGCCCCACCAAACAATTTGCCTCCTTGGTATGGAGCCGATGACAGGCGCCACTTGGATTTGACGTCGGCACGCCAATGCTTCAGCCAAAGCATACGCCGACCAGTGACGCTGGATGCCATAGCCTTGGAGGCAAACCTGGTGGCTTGGAGAGATGCATCTGATGCATATTCGATGGCCGCTACCATTTTACTAAGGTCCTGGTGAGAGCGGACATCATCAGCTGGGGTACGGGCCTGGAGCTGTTTGAGCCAGCGATGGGCGGATCTATTAAAGAATGAAGCGGAGGAGGCCGCTCTAATCGCCCAAGCTGCAGCCTGATGGGTCTTACGATAAGCGAGTTCGGACTTACGGTCCTCCGCTTTGAGGGCTTCAGAGACGTCTCCGGGTATGGCGGTGGATGAAACCAGGGGACCTAAAGGTTCATCCACTGCAGGTACCTCTAAAGCCTCTTCCAGCTCCTTAGCTACATTATAAAGTCTCTTGTCAGTAGCGCTAGGAAGAGGGAGGGAAGCTGGAGAAGCCCATTGTTTTTGTATATTGGTCATGAACATGGGAGGGCATGGGATGCGATGTTGAGCCGCCACTGGCTCAGTAAAATTGGGATCTAACTCCGGGTCCGGGGAACAGTGGCCGTCATTGAAGGAGGCTCAGATCCCCGGTGGGCTGTGGATGCGACCTTTCGGAGCAGAGTAACGAAAGCAGAAGGATTAAACATGCCACTGAATGCCGGAGCATCAGGGGAAGTCTCCTCCTCCTCAGACATTGGAAACCCTTGGTCAGTGTCCTGGTCATGGAGGGATAGGCCCTCAGAATACGAGGACCCTGATGGTGAGGAAGGTGCTTCATAAGTCTCCTCAGCCTGACCTTGTGTAGGGATGGGATTCGCAATCTGAGGTCTAAGAGGAATCACCCTGGCGTTCAAGGCGCTATCAACTGCCTGCGCAATCAAGAAGGCCAGGCGATCCTCCGAAGGTATGGGGACAGACTCCGTAGGTCGGAGGCCTGCCGCTGTAGGGGTGAAAGTTGCCTCTGGAAGGCCGTAATGTGACCGCGGAACAGGAGGTACAGGGGAATGTGAGAGTTCTCCCGTAGTCCATCCCCTCGGGGAAAAGGCGGGAGGCCCCAAGGGTAGAGTGTATGTTAATCCCTCGGTTTGGGGGGGATCTAGTCTAGCTGCCTTTTGTGCTCTAGAAAACTCCCTTTCTAGGGCCTGATGTCTCCGGCTGGCTTGTTTGTCTGCCCTCTTGGAGGTCTTGTTCGTAGACCTGACTTTGGTTTTAGATGTAGGCTTGTCAGGTCCCTCCAGACTGGGTGGAGCGGCAGACGTTAAGGTGGGTGGAGGAGGCGCAGCGGCTTCTGAAGAAGAATTAGTAGCCTCCATTCTCAGATAGCACAGGGACTCGAGTGGGACCCCCTGGTATCTAGAGAGTACAACTTCTGGGTGAGGACACACGCACTGTGGGTACGTATGGAACCCAGGTACTTTTAGGAACCACTAGGTAATATTATTGGTCGGATAAGGACAGGCACACTGTGAGTATGTCTGGAATCCGGCCTAATTTGAGGAGGAAAAGGACAGATGCTCTGTGGGAACACCTGGAATCCTCGTGGCCAAATGACAAATAGCAGTCACGAAAGGAGTGACTTGGCCCTTAAAATGGCAAACAAGCAGACTAGGAGACACGAGGGCCTGAGAAGGAATTTTCCAGGGCTATTCAGAATTCCTATCACAAGAGAGATCTAACTGCTGATAATGGGGGGGAGATCCCAGCCAGAGGCGGTCCTCAAAATGGCGGCCGAACCTCAAAATGGCGGCCCGTTGATATCGGACGTTTTTTGAAATTAGACTAATTAGCCAAAGAAGGTGGAGGATTCACCAATAGTCAAGACTATACCTGCCTAAGAGCCAGAGTTATACGTCCGTCCATGGGCAAGATCAAGTCAAGACTGGGATCTATGGTCCAGGACGGGCGTGGCAACTTTGGCTGACTTGATCTGATTGGGCAGGAATACAGTCTACTACCCATGGGTGGATCCTCCATCTCCAATGCTGGAGAACATCTGGCTCTTCCCCCAAGCAATGAGCTACGATGGGGGTTGAGAGTATTTGGTGTGGCACTTGGGGGCAAGAGTACCTTTGTTTTTTAACTATGTTTTATGGATTATTGCGAGCACCTAGAGTCATTGTATGAGTTAGTAATGGGATTTATATGATTGCCTAATTAACTGAAAATAAATAATTTTGAAATTGTAATTATCCCGTAATACAAACTTTTCATGTGTCAAGGATACCATGACTGTGCCCCAGTATTTTTCATATATAAGAGTACAGTTACTCAAACCAATCCCAAAGCATGCAAGATTTCCATCACTTGCCAGGATTTCTCTGGATGTTATGAGCCTGTCTGTTGAGTCCGACTTTGAACTGGCGAAACAAAATTTGAGAGGTTCTGAGCTTTTTAGCTGAGGAGCTAGCAGGCTCTCAGTTATCTCTAAATGAGGCTCAGAAAGAGCAAGACTCATTGGAGGATGAGTCAGGAGCAGTCAGGTAATCAGCCACCTGTTGCAGAAACACAGCAATAGAATGAGTCACTTGATACAGATCAGGGGTCTCCAACCTTGGCAACTTTACGACTTGTGTACTGTGCATCGCTGGCTGAGGAATTCTGGGAGTTGAAGTCCACAAGTCGTAAAGTTGCCAAGGTTGGAGACCCCTGATCTAGAGTCTGGCCTGGAAGTCAGACTTTTGTTGACAAACAATTTTCCAACCTCAGACACAGCTTCTTGAACATACATTGCTACTTATTCCTGGACTGACCTTTGGACTAATAAAGTATTAATACTTTCATTTTAAGTTTAAACTTAGCTTTAATTGCTGGATCCTGGATTTATCTTAGTGGAACTTCAGCTTCTGCGATAAACTTGTTTGTTTTTCCTGGGCTCTCACATTTCCATACTTTGGTGAGTTTTACAGAACTCTGATCTAAGTCTGACTTCCTGCATTTGTAATTGCTGGCAGAGGATAGTGGGTTTATATTAGTTTCAGAACCAAGAGAGGCTGAATTATGAAGTTCCATATTGTAAACAAAAGGAAAGAAAAAATAAATGCCCAAACTTAATAAAATGATCATAGAAAAATAAAGTTTTTTAAAAAATTAAAATATAGTAAAGAAAAAAATGAAGCCAATTAAAAAATGTTCTCCCCCTCTGTAAATATATGTGTGCATGTTTGTGCGTGTGTGTGTGTATATGTGTGTGTATATGTACACACAAACATACATGCACATATGCACACATAAATACATATCATTTTTTTCTCCAGATTTTCTCCTATCAAATGCTACTGGGAATGAAAAAAAACATAATCCTGGAGAAGAGTATAAAGCAAAAGTCTTCATTATTTTGAACAGTTCCACTGATTTCCATGTGTATTGTAAAAAGTTAGGGACTCTAGTAGGAATCTATTTTCCCAGATGATATTTTCTTGAAATCTTAAACTCATTGTGGGACATCATAAACAAATCAGATTCAAGGATACCACCCAATTCCAAACTTGGGTAAATAATTGACATATAATAAAGCAGAAGAAAGAAAAACAGTATTTGTCTTTTTCTCCTAAAATCTTTCTGTATAAATAGGAAAGGAAATATCAAGAAGGTTTACTCAAGCAGACCAATCCTGGTCCTTAGACAACATCAATATTGAAACTAAAAAACATATAATCTAAAAAGCAAATAGAATGCCCTTCCCCCATAGCTAAGAGAGTTGCCCAATGATGTAAAAACACTGTATGTTGAGATAATGTTACTTTGCTTTCAGTCTAACAAGGATCAAATCAAACAAGCTCAACTTCATAAGAAATTTGTATTAGTAACGAATATACCATAAATATGAATGTATTGCCAATGTGTAAGATTAAAGAAAATTGATCTAAATTTATCTTTGCACTAGCATAAAACATTGGCACAATAACAAAGGTATGTTTCAATACTAAATTCACTACTGTACTAGTTACATTGTTCCAATTTGGTAAATACAGATAGTCCTTGACTTAAGACTATAGTCGAGCCCAAAATTTCTGTTGCTAAGCGAAACAGATTTTAAATGAATTTTGCCCCACTTTATGATTTCTTCCCATAGTTGTTAAGTGAATCACTGCAGTTGTAAACTAGTACACAGTTGTTAAGTGAATCTGGCTTCTCCATTGAGTTAGCTTGTCAGAAGGTCGCAAAAGGTGATCATGTGACCCCAGGACATTGCAAGCATCATAAATGTGAGTCAGTTGTCAACCACCTGAATTTTGATCAAATGACCAGAGTGCTGCAATGGTTGTAAGTGTGAAAAATTGTCATAATTCATTTTTCAGTGCTGTTGTAACTTTGAATGGTCACTAAATGAACTGTTTTAAATCAAGAACCATCTGTACATAAAAATGCATACTCTATTTATTTGTCTAGAGTACCTGGATTTTCTCAATAATGGAGCAACATGATTTTCTTTTTTCCTTGTATATAGAAATGTTACTGAAGTATTCATATTACTATACCAAGTATCAATATAGATTATACTCCAAATGATTAACCAAATATATATTATTTATGAACAAGACTGCTTATGCATATATACTATTGTGTTTCAAGATGACATTTTTATAATAAATGTACTTGAAATAAAAACAAACTGTGATAACTTAAAAGAATTTAGTGTTCCTAATCTAGCCCTTAACTACTATCTTCAAAAACGTAACTTAAAAGAAATGCATATACTCCAGACAGACTTGTCTAACCTGATTATTTTCAGAAATTATCTTTTTCAAGCAGCTAACAGTGAGAACCCAAAAACAATACAAGATGTAATAGGTATTTTATGGCTCTTTTATCAATATAATTCTAAAAGTAGAAAGCAGAATTATTGATAGCATTATTCAAATGACAATCCAGTATTTTCTAAGTAGTAGCAGATTGAGAGGTTTCAGAGGTAGTTTTTAGCTTAGGAAATCTAATTTACATAAAATAACATAAGCATAGATAAGATATAGGTTTGCAATAGTGGCGAATATCTGTAGCTCGGGTGTAGGATGAGGGTGAAGGTTCGTTCTCCGAGCTTGTGAGTTGGTTTCCAAACGTTTCGTTACCAGGCTAGGTAAGATCTAAACACCGCTGAAGTTGTTACCTAGCCTGGTAACGAAATGTTCGGAAACCAACCCACAAGCTTGGAGAACGAAGGTTTCATTATATATTAAACTAGTAAAATGTATATCAAAAAGTATGGATTGTGTCATCTATCTTGTTCTGTACATTCGTATGTTGGCAATAGTTGCTAGTTATGAAAGAATCACGGTTGGGCTTGAGGAAAAACTTCTAAATGAGTGCAATCTTGAAAGAAAAATTATTTTCCTTAGGTGATATGAACAGATGGATGGGAACAAGAATATACAAAGAGTGATTGGCCATTCAGTTTAAGCATTAAGCTACACACAAGCACATGGCAAAGAAATGCACCTAAAAGCATGGGTCATCTGACTGTTCATTATGAAAGAAACAGTGATGATGAGAGATTCTGAATTTGAGACATAGCATTTTAGGTAATATCAGAAATGAATCTTCGGGGGAGGGAATAAATAAAGGAGAAGAGGCAATGTGAAAGGAGAAATGATTGCTGAAACAGAATGAATGAGTGCTGGTAACAATGTGCCTTTGACTGGTTCAATGTATTTATATGTAAGGAATGCCCATGGTGACATTAGAAATGTGCTTGTTGGAGACATAAAGATACGTATAATTCTGCATGTAGACAATATAATAGGTTGTTGTCTAAGAACTCATATAATTTTCAGCAAGTATTACACTGTATGATAGAGTAAGGAATATGTACTTGAAAATAAAGGTACTAAAGGCAAAAATAGTTTGGTCTGAAAGAGACAACAGAATTCAGTATTGCAAGTGATACATAAATGACTAAAAATTAGAGGAAATAGATACATTTGCTTGTCTTAGTTGAATTTTGACATCACAAAATGAGTGCAAAAAATTTAAGCTACGCAAATGCTGCTAGAAATGTAGTTGATACTACATAGTCTATGGCAGTGATGGCGAACCTTTTAGAGACCGAGTGCCCAAACCGCAACCCAAAACCCACTTATTTATCGCAAAGTGCCGCATAAGCATTGTGGCGCCCTCGAGGACTGGGGTGGGCGTGGCCCGCTGGGTGGGCGTGGCTGCAGTGGTCATATTTCTCATGGGGGGATGCCTGTGGGGGCTGGGCATGGTTTGGGGAGATCCAGGGGGTCTCTGGAGGGTGGGGCAGTGGGCAGGAGGCTCGTCCTGCAGGGTGAGGCAGGGGGCAGGACGGGGGTGCCATTGCTGTGGGCAAGGCAAGGGGAGGCAGGGGCCAGGGTGGTGGCTGCCTGACACCATCGGCACGTGATGCAGACCGCCGGATGTGCCTATTCCATCCCATCTGTTTTTGCTTGTTGTTGGAGAGCAGGTCGCTGCTAGTCATCTCCTCGGCCTCCTGCAGATCTTGCTCTTGGCCCGTGCATGGAGCCTGTTCCCCTTGCGCACCTGATGCACCTTGGCCCTGCCTTGGGCCGCCGCCCAGAGCAACAGCTCCACCCAGCACAAAGGAGGTGAAGCGGCCGGCTAGCAAGCTCGAGTAGAGGTGGTACAGCACGCCCAGGGCCAGCAGGCAAAAGGCCACCCTGAGTGGGGAAAGCCGGATCCCCATCGGCGCCATGGCCCCCCAGTCCCAGCTAGGATTGCGTGCCTTCCCATCTCTGCTGAGCCTGGGCAGCCATGATGCCAGTGGTGATCCGGCTTTCCCCACTCAGGGTGGCCTTTTGCCTCCTGGCCCTGGGCGTGATCTGCCACCTCTACGCAGGGCTTCCTAGCCGACCGCTTCGCTTCCTTCATGCTGGGCAGGCCTGCAGCTCTGGGCAGTGACCTAATGGACCTGCGCGAGCGGCTAGCAGCCGCGGTAAGTATTGAGGTGCGCAAAGGGAATGTGCTCCACTTGCGGGCCAAGACCAAGACCTTCGAGGGGGCTGAGGAGATGGGATGGAGTAGGTGTGTCTGGCGGTCCACATCACGTGCTCCCCCAACTCCGTGTGCTGCCGGTGCTGCTGCAGCGCTGCCATAGGTTCGCCACCACTGGTCTATGGCAAGGAATGAATGTTGAAACAAACAAAAATGGATTATGTTCCTGCCCACTTCATAAACAGGGACTTAGGTATGTCAAAAGAAATACAGAAGGGAATAGACTAATTCAGAAGAGATAAGATCGAGAATATCAATGGCTGGGTATGAACAAATGGAGACTGAAAACAACAATGTGACCGGTACAAAAGAAATAAGATTATTTGACCATACAAATATAAGGAATAACTAATCACTAAAAATAAATGAAGAAAGAGAAAATGAGTTCAGAGGAAATGAAAGACTGAGAAAGTTGCGGTTAGAAGAAATTGAGATCATCAGAAAAGTTTGAAGATCAAAAGTTAGTATGTAAATGGACATGATGGAAGCAAAAATGATTTGCATGGATAGAAAGATGTAGAGAAGAACAATAAATGGTATTGATTTAAAATGAATTTGGTTGGGTTTTATTTTATCTCCTTCCCTTAATTTCTTTTCCTTGTTATTGCTTTTTTATGTATTTTGTATAATCTTACCTCTCTAAAAAAGGGAAAAAATGTAAGTGCTGTATTATATGTGTAGTATTGATCTAGGATTCTGAGGAAAAAAATACTAAAATAAATTATAATAGACTTACCTTTTGGATAATCCTCCAATAAAAGGTTGAAGTGACCTAACTGGCAAAAGAAATCTGATTCAACTTTTCCTTCTGCTTTTAATATTAACGATTCATAGCAGCCAACAGCCTGGAAAAAAAAGGATATTCTTTATAAATATACTCTATTGATAACATATACTTTAAAATTGACTTTTGTTGCAAAGCTAAGAAGCAATCCCATATTTTGTCATCTTACATAATATTAGTTTTTCTTCTAGGGAAATATATATGTCCTAATTTTACTGCTATGATGATGATACAATTATGTTTAATTTTCATTTTAAAATTAAGTATTATTTTGCTTTGTTACATGTATCATTTTCCATTCTGTTAATAAAATAACCTAATCATATCATGTATTTCAATAATTATTAAATATTAAGATGATAGTTTAGTTTAATACAATACAAGGTATTAGTATTAGTCACTTCTCTATAAGAACAATTCTGCTGTAGCAGAAATTATAAATGAAACAGTAAATGTTATTTTAGCATTAAATACCACACAGTTCTGGCATAACATATTTTATGAAACTAGAAAAATTGAATTTTAAATACACTAGCTTCAGATTCATGTACATGAGAAGTATCTTTTTATAAGCCATATCTAAAACTGTAAGAGAAGCAGCTTTGTGAAATATCGTACGTTCATTTGCCTCTCAAATTTGTAAAAATTTAGATGAGAATGAAGAACAGAGGAGTGAGAAAAAAATCCATCAATATTTCTGTGCAGTAACATGCCTATGCTTGCATTCTGAAAATTTCTATCTACTTTTGCTAATTAATAGAATGTGTTACATTGTATGTTCTATATTAATTAGGAAACATTTTTGATTGAAAGAAAAAAGTGATTTAATTATATGAACATAGAGGATTGAACAAAATTTACAGTGGCATTCACTTAGCTATTTTTGTCTCTTTCTTTCCCCAAATTTGTTAGAATGCACTTTTAGTCTTTATACTCTTTGCCCTTTCTTGTATCAAATTCTCCTTCCACAAGAAGTTTTGAATGCATGTATGTTAGAACTAGATACGTATGCTGTTTGGCCAAATTTATTCTCAGCACTCAACAGCATTAACAAATAATAATAATTAATAATACTTGAATATCTTCCTCTTGCACGCATCTAACATTTGATTAAAAGCATAAAGATGCTTTTTCCATAAGCATATGAAAATAGGGGGGAAATGCTGTAGATAACAGTCCTTTGTATTTAAAAAAGTGGGACCTAAGCTTGACGGATATAAGTTGGCAATATCAGCAGTTACATGAGAAAACAAAGAAGCAAATGACAAAAGAAGCATTACTGCACAGATTAAAATACTCGTATGTAAAATTACTTGCACTGCTCTATCATGTTTGTTTTATGAATACTAAACTGAATACTGTCTGCCTTATGACAAAACTTTCAATATGAAAAATAAGCTGCCTATCTTGAAAATGAAATCAAATATCACATTTAACAAAAATACTTCAATGCTGAAAAAAGTATTTGCAATACAATCATCACATTGAAGATTTTTAAAAAAATCACCAGTCTACATCTGTAATTACACTAAACTATAGTCAAACCTATGTCTCAGTTTTCTGAATCATTTCGTCATAGCTGAAGATTAGCAGTTTAAATGTCCAGATTTAATTTTAATAATTACCAATTACCTCCCCCTTGAAATTAACTGTCAGAGTGTATTGGTTTGGTAAGAAGAAACAGAGATGTAACTGTCTGATTTTTACATTGAGCGTTGATAAGGGAGGAATTCTTTCTTCTAAGACAGGAGTCCTCAACCTGTGGCCCGCAGCCCACTACCGGGCCATGGCCTGCTGGACAGGCTGGCCACTCACGGCAGCCTGGTAAAANAAATGGGGCACTGTGCAACTTAAACGGGGTGCTGCAAGGCAAAAATGGGGTGGTGCTAGCGGCCATGCAGCGAAAACGAGGCAGGGCTAGCGAGTGTCACGTGGGCACTCACAGTTGTCTAACTGCTTCTGCAAATTTTGACCAGAAAAAAGAACTCAAATATAAGCCTTTGCCACCTCTGTCTTAAATAACGTTAAGTAAAAAAAATCATACATTGAACATTGAAACAAGTGTTCAATTAATGTTGAAACAAGTTCAAACACTAGTAGATATATCAGGGCAAACCTACTGGGCAAACTATATCAGTTAATTTTCATCATATGCAAATCACCATTACATTTGATAAGTTTGTTATATGAATATTACAGTGCATAGAAAACCATAGATGATAAAAGACACTGATTAATTTTAGAAATTAATTTTAAGGTTAATATACATACATATGTTATTTAGTATCAACCTGGTTATTATGTAATAAAAAATTAAAATTGACTTTAAAATAATTTTAACAACTAATTCATGTTAGTGGCCAGAATATGTCATCTTAAAAGCAACTTGGAGCGTTTCTAGAAGGAAGATATTTAAAGCCCCTTGGTTAATACAGCAAATCTCTTCTGACTAATTAAAACAAGCCAAAAGCAACAAGAAACAGTTTTACAAGTGTCTGACCAAAAAATTTCAGCTATCAAATTTCTCTAACTAAAACTGAATTCAATTGTCATTTGATCAATAAGATACAAATTATAAGAAGTCCAGTGAACATTTGGAGCAATACACAGTGCTCCAAATTTACAAGTGAATGAAATTTTTCATTCTTTTCTAAGTAAGAAAAGAAAGCTCCCATCAATGTCATTTGTTTTTTAATGTTATAGTTTGAGAACACATTTGCAAATTATGAATTGGAACAAATGCACATTACAATTAGATGAATAGGAATTGGAAGGGGGAAAATGTAATGAACAATATCATAAAAACTATCAGGAGCAAAAGGCTAGGACATAGGTTTAGTTCCAATTAAACTGACTTATTACTATTGATGTCTATGCACAGGAATCTACTCAATTAAGATTAGTACTATTTTGACATTAGATAAGGTAAATGGAATTCAAGAGGGGGTTGGAATAATCCATTTGTGGCTATGGAGAAACTCTTAGGCTAATTAATCTTTTGACTCCATCCCCAGGTTCTGCCACTCCTTCTCCTGCAAAAACCTCCTGAAAGTATGTCTAAATTATTGTCATTGTTTGCCTCATTTTAATTTTATTCTGTGACTCACTCAGAGCTCTGATAAAAAGTACAAGCCAAAAGACCTGAACTGTAAATAAATTATGGTATTGGAAAAAGTACATTTAAAGAACAATCAACTTCTAGAAACATGCGATCTCATATGCTATATTCTTAGCTCTCCTACTTTCATGGTTCCCAAATTTGTACATCATGACAAATTATAGTTAATATAAAGATAAATATATTAAATAAAAAACCATTTCAATTCATGCCCTCTTATTCTTATTTGTCATTTCATAATTATAATTGATCTTTCTAATAATGATGTGGATAATGTCTGAAGTGATGCTATATTTTACTCACTGCTATTACACTATTATAGATAAATGGACCTTACTATGTACAAAGAGAACACACGGGAATCGTGTCACCACAATAACTTATTTGTTTTGTTTCCATTCTTCTATATCTTTTAACCAAGCAGCTTTAAATTAGGCACGGAAAAACAGGAAAGAAAAAGAGGACTTTTCAGAGAGAACGATGTACAGTAATTCTCCTTCACAGGCAATTTTACTGTACATCCTAATGTCTGAATTGTTCTCACAATTTAGATCTTCAAAGTAAACTTCAGCCATTAATGCCAGAAAAGTACAGTTATACAAAATATATTCTTGAATACAACTGAGTCAACTCCATAACTTCAACTTATTAATAGTTAAAATACTAACTACTACTATATGTAATAATTCTAATTATTACAATTAGTAATAATTGCTAAATGAGAACCATAAATTGATGGTGCATTATGTACAGTTGCAAGGATCCAAGGGAGGTACAGCAAGCTCAAGGAGGGTACAAGGGAGACAACTGGAGAAGATGCACAAGGGTGGTGCCGTGAGAGTCAGGGAGGCATGGTAAGGATTTTCAATTTGAAAATCCCAATTTAAAGTTCAGAAACTTTCTCATTCAACACAGAGCATTTCATATTCAAGATCGTGTCTTTCATTCATTTGGGAAACAAATAATTTTGAATATGTTCTTTATATACTGCTAAAATGAATGGGAAGAAAAAAAGCAAATATTCTTGAATCAAAGGAGTTTTAAAAACAAAGCATGTAAACCGGAATGAATTCAAAACATTTGGGGCATGCCTACTCCTCACAATGATGAAGTACTTCACATTATTCATTATGTGACGATTTGCAGGGAGACATGGGGTTGTCCTACATAACAGTTGTTTCAGAATGTTCTGGAAAGAAAAATGGAGTAGTCATAAAACCCCATAATTGTCATGCACAAGAAACATAACATTAATTGCAAAGTTAGTGCTTGTTTTTAATATTCCTCCTAATATTGTGTAAAAGCTTTAAATACATTATTAAATATCTGAAGAAAAAGTTGGCTACCTTCTTTTACTGCTTCTAGGCACTACAATTCAGGAAGCATATACAAGTTACTTAGATAAGGTGCAAACATTGATGATCAGCTTAATACAGCTTACCTAAAAGAAACTTCAATAGTCAAGCAAGAAGCTAGGAATAGACAACAAGGTCAACTATTATGAATAAATATGGGCAATCTTCCACAGAATTCTGCACAAAACAGTACAGAGGTCACTGAGGAAAAGATGATCATAGTGTTTCCTACTTTTGTGTTGAACAGTTCAAAATTCTACACAAAATTGTACTTTTAATATGTAATTTTAACATGCCACAAAATGCAGTAGAGGTAGTCCTCGACTTACAATCATTCAAAGTTACAATGGCATTGAGAAAAGTGACTAATGATCGTTTTTCACACTTATGACTATTGTAGCATCCCCATTGTCATATGAACAGAATTCAAGCACTTGGCATGTGGCATGTATTTATGACAGTTGCACTGTCCTGGGGTCATGTGATCACCATTTGTACTCTTCCCGGTGGTTTCCAACAAGCAAAGTCAATGGGGGAATCCAGATTTGCTTAACAATTGCATGATTCATTTAATAACTACAGTGATTT